TGATAACTTTTGACAAAGTTTAATCCATGAGCAAAGAGAAATAATTTCTACTTTAAAAGCATGGAGAGATCGCGATTGCACACAGTCTGCGCACAAACAATATCGGAGTGAGAGGACAGGCAGTTCATTTGTATAAGTTAGGCCTACTTGAGAGCTCGCATTCAGTTTTCTGTGATTACATGACTGTGTTCTCATGTTACAATAAAGCGCTCGCCACATTTGCGCGGGAATGATTAAAATTATGCGGAATACCTCCAATCCTGCGCGGACATTCAGACTCTGTAATTGACAGGAGACGGATGCGTGTCAAACTCGCTGTCGGAGAGGAGAGAGAGACGCAGCTTGTATCGGTGTATATTTGGTAGATATGTGGAAAATTAGTAAGGGAACAGTGTCAGATATTTCCGTATCGGTATCAAAATATAGATATTTATGATAACACTACCATGTAGTTTGTTTCTCCAAACATTGAGTCCATAAATTACGCTGAGCTCCCTCACTGTCTGGTCAGCTCTTCGCCTGCTGCAGCGGCGGCTTTTCCCGGTTCAGATATCAGGGCTTTTATTGGTTCCTTCTCGATCGGATATCTTTATTGGCTACTGCAGTGCAGTCAAAGGTTTGAATATCAATTCAAATTGTGGGCGTACTCAGTAACTATGATTTAAAAGTAACGAAGTAGATTATTTTGCTTAATTTGTACTTAAGTACAAGTAAAAGTACAGCTTTAAAAATATACTCAAAAAAGTACAAGTACCCGAAAAAACTACTTAATTACAGTAACGTGAGTAGTTGTAATTCGTTACCTCCACCACTGATAATGACTGTTTAATAACCATAACATGCAGTAAGAGCCTTTGTGTACATTTAATTCTTTTTTTATGCATTAGGCTGCAGCCTATGACGTTTTGAAATTAACCCTCACTGTACATTTTCTAATGATTTTTAAGGATGTTATAATGTTATATTATAATGTTGTTGTTTTATTTCGTTATTTGATCTCAGTTTACAAAACAAAAGGAAAGGAAAAAAGCACCAGTCTGTCTGAAATCCTGTGCTGACCAGCTGGCCCCCATCTTCACACAGATCTTCAACAGATCACTGGAGCTGTGCGAAGTCCCTTCATGCTTCAAACACTCCACCATCATCCCCATCCCAAAGAAATCCAAAATTACAGGACTTAATGACTACAGGCCTGTGGCTCTAACATCTGTGGTCATGAAGTCTTTTGAAAAACTGGTGCTGGCCCACCTGAAGGACATCACTGGACCCTTGCTGGATCCTCTTCAGTTTGCCTACAGAGCAAACAGGTCTGTGGACGATGCAGTCAACATGGGACTGCATTATGTTCTGCAACATCTAGACAGACCAGCGACTTATGTGAGGATCCTGTTCGTGGACTTCAGCTCAGCCTTTAACACTATCATCCCAAACCACCTCCTGCCCAAACTA